TATCTTGCAAGATGATTATGTTGTCAAAGCCAAATATAGTGAACTAGCAAACTAGTATGGTGAAGATCCACTGTCTTTAACATTAGACGCTAAAAAAATGCCTGGTCGGGTTCGTGGGATTGGTAAATTTATCTTGCCATCAAAGTTTTTTAATAATCAACCTAAAATCTCGTAAATGAGAAATGCATAATATGAAGCAATCATTGACTAACAACAGCAATGAATTAATGACCAGGTGTAATGCCTTAATGTGCAATAGTAAAAAATCACTGCTTTAGAGGTCATGTTGGTAGCAATACAGCAAAACATGCCAGTAGGCCAGTTTAATAGCATCGTCCACATAGGATAAGCTTTCATTACAAGTCGACAGCGAACCCATCTTTCGCTAGCACCCATAAAGTATGATTTTGTTTATAAGTTTAATATTAATTTATTTATTATATTTATTGATTTAGTTTTAATTCTTATATTTCATTAAATATTGTAGCAAGATATTGGGACTTAGAGTATGACCCTTGCTCAGGCTACCATAGATGAGTTATCTAATTATTTGCTAGAGCATTCATCTAGAGAAAACTTCATAACCATTGAGTCTGAAGAAGGGTTATTTAATAAACCATCATTTTATTTCATTGATATGGAAGAGGTTAAAGAATTTTGTAAACTGGATGAATTATCAGTTGTTAATATTGTTGCTTATATAAGGTTAGCTTATAAATACAAATATGCACATTCAATATGTATTAATCTATATTATGGTGTAATATTAATTAGCATTGATGATTGTTATCATGCAACTTCTTATATAGAGAGCTCAAAGGAAAATAATTGACTAATAGATTTAGATTCATTGACCCTAACTTCATTAGTGAGCAGAGTAACACAGTTGCTTATCGTGCTAATTATGTGATTGAATGCATGAAAAGATCGACTGATTATTATTTACTCCCGTATAATGCACAGTAAGTTATATTCCAACCTTAATTATTCCAACCTTACCAAAATCTGATCTGATGCCTAATCTGAGTATATCATTGTTATTATTTTGTAGTCGTTATTGGGTGTTTATTGTGATTGACATCAAATCCTTAACACCATATTTACTTAATTCAATTAATCCAATGACAATGCCTAACCCCGATATTCAAATTTTTATAAAGAGGTATTACACTTTATTATATTATATATCTTCTGTTTCTTCATAAGTAATTTTATTTATGTATTAAGTAATTTTTTTTCTTTTCAATATAAGATAATATCTATATTCGATAAGAAGGTAAAGAATCGAAATGGGTGTCATTACCGATAAATGTGAAATTTATTCTTTTATGCTGAGTTTATATAAATAAATATTTTTTAAATCCACTCAATTTAATTTTTAGGTACCTCGTCAACCCGGTAATACTAAATGTGGATATTATATCCTTCGTTTTATGCAGGAGATAGTTTTATATGATTTTATGCCCACACCATTCAAGGTTAGTACAAATTTCATAAACTAGCTATATTTTTTAAAAAATAAAAAGTTAAACTAATTTATTAACATTTACTTCTAATTTTTTTTAGTGGGAGGGTAAAAAAAGCTTAACAGTAAAAGAACTGGATGAAGTCCGTAAAGAATGGTGTGAGTATGTATTATCATTTATCAATGTTAATAAATCTTGAGGTTAGACATTGTTGGTTGAATGTAAATATATGAGGAACAAATTGTTGTAATGTTTTTAACATGCCATGTTGAATGAAAATTTTAAGTTTGTAGAATAGGGTATTTGTTTAATATTATTGGTATACTTAATATAAATATACTATGTATATTTAATATATTGTTAAGTACGATTATTTCATAAAAATATATTAATATGGCAATGTTATCAGTTTTAAATTCGGATGTGTGGTCAATTTATTGAAATATAACAATGTTCATTATGTAAATTCTAAAATATAATTTATAGTATCACATATATAAACCAAATGTTTTCTGGGCATAAATATACAAGTAGCTTCAAATGTTTTCTAAGCATAAACTTACAACTGACTTGACATATACAATATCAAAAATATTTTTTTGATGGGATTAATGAAGGTGTTTTTAGCAAAAAAATGCCTTGAATCATCCATAATAAAATGTTATTGAAGGCATTTTTAACCAAAACTGCATTCAATAATCCCACCTAAAAATATATTGTATGAATTATTAAAGGCATTGTAAGCATAAACTTACAACTGACTTGACATATACAATATCAAAAATATTTTTTTGATGGGTTAATGAAGGTGTTTTTAGCAAGAAAATGTCTTGAATCATCCATAATAAAATGTTATTGAAGGCATTTTTAACCAAAACTGCATTCAATAATCCCACCTAAAAATATATTGTATGAAATATTAAAGGCATTTTGGGCAAAAATGTCTTCAAGAATCCGTTCTAACTTTTTTATATGAATTATTAAAGGCATTTTTAAAAAAATCACTTTCAATAATACCAACTAAAAATTAATTGAATAGATTATTGAAACGCTTTCAGCCAAAAATGCCTTTAATAATCTATTTCATATTTTTCGTATGGATTATTAAGGGCATTTTTCTGTCGAAAACACCTTGAATAATCTCTAACAAAATGTTATTGAATGTATTTTTTTAAAAAATCACCTTCAATAATCCGATCCTTCAATAATCCGATTATTCAAATTTATCGTGTGAAATATTAAAGGCGTTTTGAGCTAAAAATGCTTTCAAGAATCCGTTTCAACTTTTGTGTATGAATTATCGAATGCGTTTTTGACAAAAACCACATTTAATAATCCAAACTAAAATTTTTTTTATCAAATTATTGAAGGCGAGTTCGGCCAAAAATAACTTTAATAATCGGTTTTATATTTTTTCTATGGATTATTAAGGGCGTTTCTTTGCCAAAAAAGCCTTCAATATCCTCTTCAAAATTTTTGAAAGCAACTAGTAAAGGCGTTTTTGCCTAAAAAATGCCTAAAATAATCAATTACAAATAATTTCTGCAAAAACACAAAAAAAGCTAAATGGAAGGATCGAACCTACCATTTTATGGTTAACATCCGTACGATCCTAAATTTTTTATATGATATTTTTTTAAGGTGTTTTTAACTAAAAATACCTTCAATAAGCCTGTAAAAATTTTTGATGGAATTATTAAAGGCGTTTCTCATAGAAAACGCCTTTAATAATCATATACATTTTTATGAGGGGATTATTGAAAGCATTGTTTGCCAAAAACGCCTTAAGTAATTCCCTATCGATTTTTTTAATGGGATTATTCAAGTTGTTTTCTATCAAAAACGCTTTTAGTATTCACATCAATTTTTAAGGCATGATTATTCAAGGCGTTTTAGTCGATAAACACCGCTAATATCAAATCTTAGGTGGCGTTTATAAATAACAATGCTGCTATTTGAATATTTAATGGCATTTTGATAATAAACACCTTAAGTTTTATAAAAACACAAAAGTTAGCGATGTTTTACTTACAAATGCCACTACAAAACTGTCACTAATCTTTTATTTTCTTGTAGTAATGTTATTTTATAAAAAATGGTTATAATTGGAAAAAATATTTTAATGAATTATTTTTTCTTTTTCATTATTTATCTAAAGAATGGTTATTAGAATTTTTTTTTATTTCTTTTATTAATTTTAACTATCCAAACAAGAGGTACATGCACCATTTCTTTTCCTTTAAAAAACTTTCCCCCTCCTTTTTTTTCTTTCTTTTCTTTTTCTTTTTTTATATATATCCAAACATAGGCTAAATTGCTTACTTAAATAGGCTAAATTACATACTTAAAAATGGGTTAATTACATGTGGTGTTCTTAACTTCTTAGTTCAAGCTTTAATTTTTGGTAAATGGAAAAGGAAAGTTTTAGGCATTTAGCTACGGGGATAAAACTTATATAAAGTTTTTTCAGATGAAATTTTTTTTTATTTTTAAAAATGATTTAACAAAAATTTTAATTAAAAATCTAAATCGATAAATTGATAAAATTCAATATAAAAATTAATAATATGTAAAAAATTTATTTAAAATATTGTTTATAATTTAAAATTGATCAATAATAATTTAACGATAACAATTTAATTAACATTTTTACTAAAAATGTGCATCTAAAAATATATATATCAAAATTTATTAAATTTTTTTCAAAATTTACAGACTTAATCTATGTAACGAGATCTTTCAATCTATCAATTTTGATTTTTAATTTTATTTTTAATTTAATTGTTTCTGGTAGGGAATTTCATGAATTTCATTTAAAAAAAACTTCATTTAAGTATTTTCCTTAGCTACAAAAAAAAAATGTAATTAAGAGTACAAGAATTAACTATGTATCCTATTAATATCTATTTAGATGCATACATTTACATGCCAAATTATGTATATTTGTTAATAATTATGTAATTTGTTTATAGAATGTTAAATTTTTAATTTCAATTATTAAGATTTAAATTTTAGTAATCTTGAATAAAAAATATTTATATCTTAATCTCTCTTAAGGGATCGATCTGATGTATTTTTAATAAGAGATTTGGTTTGGTTTAAGAACAATTTGAACTGGTTTCATGAAATTTTGGGGATTGTAACTATAAAAAAATATGTACTTTTAATTAAGATGAAATTTTTTGGCCAAAAATTCAAGATGAATTTAGTTAGGCAAAATGAATAATTAAGTAGGCCATTTCAAAAAAGAAAATGACATTGCATGAATATGAATTTATTATAGTAAATATATATTTAAAAATTTACGTTTTTTAATTTAAAAAGGAGAGATTTGAATGAAACTTTTTTAACATGAAAATAAGTTTTTTTTTTTTTTTTAAGAACTAGATATAATTTTAAAATATTTGTTTACAAAGGGCATCCGTGTCAAAGGATGGGCTTTAATTCCTGGGCATTAGAAGCCCATTACTATCCCAAATTCAGCCTGCCATGGCCCACAATCCATAAAAGAAGGCGGAGTTTCAATCAAAGGAAATTTTCGTAGTTTAAAAAACCTAAGCGCCTCTATATAAATACGAATGCGTGGATCCAAAGTCTCCTCCAAAAAAATAAACAATAAAAAAAAGAGCGAAGATTTTCCTCGTTCAAAATCGATTCGGCAAGTGTTAGCTCTCGCCTAGTTCTCCAAAACCCCGGCGGCGCCATTGCTGTTTCCGCCGTCAAAACATGGTGCGTTGATCTTCTCTTTATGCCTGTTACATTTAGTTTTAGTAATTTCTTTTTGTTGAAAACTATGAAGTTTGTTGGTTGATCAATTCTTAGGTGGAGAAAAACGTGGGACCTCTGTCTTCCAATCCAGACAAAACCAGAGTGTTGCGTAAACGTAAGTCGCGGTCTGAATCTGATGATGATTTATCTGATATCAATGACGCCGAGGTACGTACCTCGCGAAATTATTTTTTTAATTATTTTTTTAAATTTTAATGAATACAATATGCTTTGTAGATTACCGGATATCTTAACAACAAAACGGAGATGCTATTCAAGAAGTTGGTTTGGGAAGCTATGAACAAAGATTACCCAAAGGTATTTCATTTTCTTTTCTTTTTTATTTTTTTTAAGGATTATTATGTCAATGTCTTTGGGTTTATACTACATTTCTTAATAATTCGCTGAAATATAGGAAAAATTAGTAGAGAAAAATTAAACTGATTGTTTCCTACTTGTTTGAATACTTGGAGTGAGGCGAATGAGATAAATCTAGTTTCAATGTCGCATTGCATTCTAGTTTTTTTAAGAAACAGGTTTGCAGAGTGAGCTGTGATGACAGCTGTTGCTTTTTCACCTGAAAATTATCAATGAAGTTTGTCAGCAGAGGTGCTGAAGGCATTTATTGTTTTTCCTCCATGGTTAAGTTCATAAAAAGAGAAACAGAATCTTTAGCCAGAATAATTTAGGGCTCATTTTTGTTTTATGTTGTATGTTTTTGTTTTCACTTTTTATGAAAATTGGAAACAAAATTATGTTTGGTCGGTTGTTTTGGTTTTAAAAGCAAAAAATTGGAAACAAAATTTTGGAAATCACTGGAAGTGAAAAAAACAATGTTTTCAATAATGTGAAAACAGTACCATTTTTTAGATTCAAACCACTACCATTTTCACAACTCATTCCCCCAATAACTTCTTTACATGGTCATTTGTTTTGTAGTATTCTGTAACAAAATGTTAATTCTTAAACGTGTTTTTCAACTTCTATAAAATGAAAACAAAACAAAACAAAATTTTCAAAATCATAAAGCATAAAATTGGCAATAATACCAAAGGACCCCTTGGTTGATTGTGGTTGTAAATTTATTTTTTTTTTGGATACAGTTGTTCATGCAAATCTTTGTTTTCTGAGTGAAGCTATGAACTGCTGGAGTTATATAAATTGGTTTGATAGTTACTGCAATTTTCCGTAACTGGTTTGATAGTTACTGCAATTTTCGTAACTAAATCCTAAATTGGTTACTAGATCACTAGAAGAGGGTCAATTGAAACTAGAGTGTGAGTTTTTGTATGCCTTTTCTAACTTTTGAAAGGTAGTTCTTGTTTTAACAGTAGATATGTGAATGAAGATAAAGATTAAGTGAGGAACGGAAAAGATATAATGAGGTAGGAATGAGAAGAGGAATTTCTCTGTTCTCTTTGTCTTTACACTAGCATATTGTCATTGGGGAAAATATAATATTGCTGTATGTGCTAAACTGCACGAAATCCAAGTGGCCATGCTAATTGCTAATGCTTAATGTTTACCAATGGTGTCAATCAATAGAACTGCTTAATTGGTGATGTCATATTTGCTTTCATATAACAACTTGCACATTTTTTTATCCATCATCTCTCTATCAACATTACAGAGTTCTATTTGTTTCATACATTTTGTTTTTTTCAGAGTGCTACTAGATCATGCATTTGGTTTTGTTTTCCATTGAAATCTGTAACCTAGGTCAAGAATCTAAGAAGTGGTTTTAGCTTGAACTATGCTATCAATTCTATGGCATTAATCAAACACTGGAAACTTGTTTTTGATGAAGTGCCATAGAAGTGATAGCACAGTTCAAGCTAAAGCCACTTCTTAGATAACCTAGGTTATTACATTTATTATTATATTTGTTGCTCTTTTGATATTCACGGCTGATCTCTTTTGTTAATCCTAATCATACCTTTGGTTGAGGAATATGAGTGTATCTGCATGCTGCTTCCATGAAATTTCAAAACTAGATCTGCTACTGATTCTATTTTTGCTCTACTTGTTCAAATTCACCCATATATTATATACATATTTTCCTGTCAGTAGAAACAAAGAAAGCCTGTAATTGCAAAGAAATCTACTTCTGCTAAGAACGTTGTTGCTAGCAGGACAGTAAAAGGAAAGGAAGAGGAAAAGGAGCATAAAAAGGTAAGTATAAGCAAATTTGTTTGCTCTGTATAGTGTCCCTTGAGACGTAAAATATTTATCTACACAAAAGTGGTAACTAATGTTGTGGCATTCTTCCTTGAGAACACTGAAGAAAATTTCTCTAGTAATCTTATGAATTATTTACACAACATATCTTTGCCTTGCTAAGATATTTCTTTATATTTTTAAAGTTCATTTTTGGTTTTCTCTTGATTAATTTTTGGTCCTATGTTTTCATGGCTTATTGATGTGGATTTTTTCCTCCTTTGTAGAGATTGAGTTCAAAAATCAACTATGATGCGTTGGAGAAGCCAACTGATGAACCTGTACTATCACTCTCTCTCTCTCTCTCTCTCTATATATATATATATATATATATATATTTGCTATGTTTTATTATAGTAGATTAGAATAGAAATTGGTTGTGTATAACGCTTCAATTGAACACAATTGTCATTGTTAACTCAATGTAGTTACACAAATTTTTGCTGAATATTGCACATCTACACTTTTGATTAATATTGCACAGATTGCTTTGAATTTCTTTTTTGAAGAGAACCACTAATTAAGAAGGAAAAGGAAATATTAGGCTAAATACATGCATGTATGCACATGTGCTTACACCACCAGATCATACTGTTGTCAGAGATCTTTTTAGAATTCAAACATATTGTGAGTCTTTGGTTTGTTAACATAAACAGTAGGTGGTATGAAGCATGTCAAAGAAGTGGGTGGTGGGTTTTATTTGATACTAAAGCATGAGAAACTTTCGAAACATAGTTAAAGAAAATGTCAAATAGTGGGACATTTATTTTTATTCTTGTTGGTTTCATCATAATTACTAAAAATGCCTTTTCTATATTTTGTATGAGAAACTTTGCCAAATGTAAGTTAATTCTTGACGTTGCTAATAAAATTATGAGTTTAAGATGTATTGGATCTTACATTTGTATCTATACCTGGTCTGTTAAAGTATTTGTAGGAATAACTTGGCATTCAGTAAATTCTCTAAAACAGAATTTGCTTTCAAGTTTCTTTATAGTTTTGCATTAACATTTCAGCTTCATATTTCTATCATCAGTGACCATTGGCTTTTGATCTCCTTGCATTTGCTTGGCTAGTCAGAGAAAGAACTGGAGTTTCATATTCGATTCTTTTTAAATATGCTATCATTGTGCTTTTGATTGGGAAATGAAAGACATAACTGCATAAGAGCACAATGGTTTACCTAAGAGCATTAGATTGATATCAAAGAATATAGACCAACAATCTTTCTGAAATAATCCAAATTTATTTAGAAAGTTTTACACCTGAATTTTGTGGACTTACTTGATTGATTTCCTTGTAGGACGAAGTCACTGAAAAGGCTAAGAAGGGTGTTATAGACTTGAACTGCAGCAACCAAATTGAAACGCAGCAGTCCAAAGGAACATCGAGTTTGGAAGTATGTGCTTTTGAGGAAGACAATTACAGTGACGAGCTTGAGCTCGAAAATACCCCTCTATACTCATATAGAGAAGACGAAGAGGATGAATATGGTTATAGGGAAGATTATGACTATGAAGAATTTTGATGCTAAAGTGCTTTTGTCGATAATATATTAATTTTTTTATAAGTTTTGAAGCCTGGTGTTAGGACACAATTATGTGATGAAATTTTGCATAGTTAACTGCTATTGTTGCAAATAGTTTTGCACTTGAAAATACATGAAGCCACTTATTGTTCAAAATAATTGAGTAATTTTGCAAGATAATTTTTTTTATTAATGTAGGTATGATGTGAGTGCATATTTATGTATGTTTTTATGATATGTTAGATGAAGGTTAAATCCTTTTATATTGTAGGAGCCAAAAGAATCATGGCCTTGCAAAATTCCTATCGAAATGGAAAAACATGCCATTAGGCGAAGCATTGTGGCTCGTGTGAACGTATATGCTTGTGTCATATGTTGGGAGCTTAAGCCTAGTTACTGTGTGGCCTTAAGCAAGAAATTATTGTTCGTATGCCTAACTTTTTGTGCCATGCACTAACCGATTGTGTCGTGCATTAACCTCCTTAGAGTTTAGGAGAAAGTTAGGAAAGGAAGAATTAAAGCAAGAGTAATTTATCTACTTGTTGGTGTATTTACTCTTGCTTTTGGAACACAATCCTTATGTATTTTTTTGTTGTCACCTTTTTATCTATCTCTATGTCTATGTATAAATGAGGGGAAGGATTTCTTATTTATACTTGAACCCCTTTGGTACCTATGGCTACTATAAGTCCAAGTGTATAGTCATTAAGGGCCTTCTAAAGAGTTTTAAGGTGTCTTGGCCCCAATAAGGTTGGCTAAGGCCTTTATAGAGATTTGTTAGTTTTAGGCACCCTGTTGAGCCCTTGGGTCTAGAAGGGTTTGAGCATTTTTGTTGAGTGCCCACGACCTTTTAAAAGTTTCACTGTTTAAAAGCTATAATAGTTCTGCCCATTTGCTCATCTGGCCCTTTCAAAGGGTTTCATGCTCGCCCTTTTGGCCTAAGTCTGGCTTATCTAGAGCCTTCTCAAGTTTAGTGCCCGCGCCACTCTTTTGGGGCTGTCTAGAACCTTCTTTCACCTGGGTGCTACACTACCCAGCACTGTGCTTACACTTGGCCTTTTTGGAACCTTTAGTGCCCGTGCATTTGGCCTACCTCCAAGCCTCTCTAGACCCTTTTATGCCTACTTGCTTGGCTTGTCTCCAGACGGTTCTAGGCCCTACCATGCCTGGCTGTTCACACCACATCCTGAGGTGTTTTAGAACCTTCCAATGAGCAATCCTTCTACCAGGCACCATGCAGTTCACCTCGAGCGTATTGTTGCACTTTGGCTTTAGCTTAGGCCCACATGTCACGCCTTGGGCGGGTGCACCAATCACATCAGGTGCACCAGCACATGCACCTAAGGTTGAGGCTTGCGCATTAGGCGCACTGGCGGTGGTTAGTGTGCAAGGCCTTTAAGGCAAGGTCAAAACACTTGCAGAGCCTGCAAGCTAGCCCGCAAGGCCAAGGTTTGGCCTGCATGATGCCCGCACCACATCCAGCAGGGCTCAAGATGAGAGATACGTAAGAGAATCTTCTAGAAGATCACAGGATCAGCATGAGCCTTCTGACAGATCTGGTTGACCTTTAGAATCAGGAGATAGAATCCTGATTGATTGTAATCTTTGTAATTCATTGATTTTAGCCTTGATCTTAGGGATTTAGCTATAAGTGTAGCTGAGAGTCTCAACTATAAATAAAGGGTTGCTCCACCCTCATTTGTACACCATCATATACTTCTGTTTCAGTGAATACAAAACATATTTCAGCAAGCTATCTTGTTTTCTTGTTTCTCTCAAACTTTCGCATGCAGCCTTTCCCATTGTTTAAGTGCTTGCACGTTGGTGTTTTAGGCTGATTTAGGCTACAAAGAGGTGATTCCAAGCCTAAGGTCGCACGGATTCTTAGTCTAAGGTCGACGCCCGTAACAATTGGTATCAGGGCAAGTTTGGTTTTACGTGTTTGTGTTGTTCAGGTTAGATCACAGTCGAGGAGATGGCATCCTAGAATGACGTTGCTAGCCAACAACTAGAGGCTCATGAGCAGGGGCGTGGAAGAGGCAAAAAGGCCAACTTGAGAGATATCTAGTCTACCATGGACGATAGGCTGGCCAGGGTAGAGGTGAGCATAGGTGACATGCAAGAGAAGCTTGAGGATGTGTAGACTCACGTTGAAGCACTAGACTCCATGAAGGAGGAGCTTAGTGGCGAGTTACAAGCTGCTCTCAATAAAGGCATGGACGTGATCACCCAAAAGAATGAGACCTTAGAGGTTGTGGTGGAGGCCGTAAGCAAGAGGATATAGAAAGCTCACCAGCGAGCTCATTGCTTGCAAGACTGTCATTGGGAATGGCATGTTTGCTAGAGTGTCTAAGTCTAAGATGGATGTCCCCAAGCCTAAAGAGTTCAAAGGAACTAGGGCGGCCAAGGAAGTAGACAACTACTTATGAGGTATGGAGCAGTATTTCCAGGCCATGGGCATGCAGGACGAGGCAATAAAGGTAAGCACCGCTGCTATGTATCTCACTGACGTAGCTTTATTGTGGTGGAGGCGCAGGTGTAATGATGTTAGGCGTAGGAGCGCCAAGATTGAAACCTGGGTAGAATTCCAAAAAAAGTTCAAAGAGCAATTTTACCCCGAGTATGTTGATGATGAGGCGCGAGCAAAGTTGCACAAACTGAGCCAGTAAGGGGACATAAGGGGGTATGTGCAGAGATTCTCTGAACTGATGCTACAAATCTCGGATCTAAGCGAGAAGGATACTTTATTTGCTTTCATGGATGGGTTGAAATTGTGGATGAAACATGAGCTACAACGAAGGGGAGTTCATGACTTGGCTAAAACCATGACTACTGCTGAGTCCTTGATAGAGTTTAAGCCTCTGAACAAGTTCGAGTTTTCTAAGGCCAATGGTAAGGGCAAGGACGAGAGGGACCCAAAGAAGCAATCCAAAGGGAAATATCGTGATCGGGAATCCAAAGATGGGGGTCGAGATCGTTCAATCAAAGATGATGAGAGAAAGCCACCAGTAAGCAAATGGAAAGCAAATGGGGACAAAGAGCCACTAGCATGCTACTTATGTGGAGGGAGTCATATAATGCGTAATTACCCACAAAAGGGCATGCTGGCTGCTGTAGACAAGGAGTCTGACGAGGAACCAAAGGCAGAGGCAGTAAAGCTTGGGTCGTTGGTGCTCAATGCTGTCCAGAGTAAAGGGAGCTGCAAGCCAAAGGACTTGATGTTTGTGGATCTGATGGTTGCAAGTAAGAAGGTGAGCGCACCGATGGACACATGTGCCTCTCATCTTTTTATTTCAGGTGATGAAGCCCAAAAGCTTGGATTAAAGGTGTAAAAAGGTATTGGTACCATTAAAACAGTGAACTCCAAGGAGGTTTCAGCCATTGGAGTAGCATAGGGAGTGGAGTTGCAGCTTAAAGACTGGAAAGGCAAGGAGACCATAGAGGTAATACCTTTTGACAACTATGAGTTTATGATTGGGTTGGATTTTCTTGTTCGGATTAACGCCCTTCTTATGTCTTTTGCCAATTGCATTTGTATATTGGATGCACGGTGCCAATGCCTAGTATCATTGAGGAGAGGGTTTAGAGTTAGGTCGCGGGTGGTGTTAGCCATCCAATTGCCAAGGCGGTAAGTAGAGAAAAAGACACCTTCTTGACAGCCCTGAAGTATGATGAGCCAAGGGAGAAAGAAACCAAGTCACCCTTGGAGGTGCTCAAAGTGCTAAAGACCTTTAGTGATGTGATGCCCGTAAAGCTGCTTAGCCAGCTACCACCTAAGAGGGAGGTGGACCATAAGATCGAGCTAGTGTCCGAGGCCAAGCCACCAACTAGAGCCCTTTACCGAATGTTCCCACCAGAGTTGGAGGAGTTAAGGAAGCAACTCAAAGAGTTAGTTGATGCTGGCTTTATCAGGCCATCGAAGGTACCATATGGTGCACTAATTTTATTCTAATGCAAGCATAATGGGTCGTTACGACTGTGCATAGACTACCAGGTTTTGAACAAGTTGACCGTCAAGAATAAGTACCTTATCTCACTCATTGCAGACTTGTTCAACCAATTTGAGAGCGTAAGATGGTTCACCAAGCTGGATTTGAGGTCGGGCTACTACCAAGTTAGGATCGCGGAAGGAGATGAGCCCAAGACAGCATATGTCACTCGGTATGGTTCGTATGAGTTCCTAGTTATGCCATTCGGACTCACGAATGCCCCAGCAACATTTCGCACCTTTATGAACAAGGTACTTTAGTCGTTTTTTGATCGGTTTGTTGTGGTTTATTTGGATGACATTGTGATCTACAGCCAGACTTTGAGAGAGCATGTAGACCACTTGAGACAGGTGTTCGAGGTGTTACGGGCGTACAAGCTATTTGTCAAGAGGGAAAAAAGCTCGTTTGCCCAGCAGGAGATCCCATTCTTAGGCCACATAGTGGGAGGTGGCAGGATACGCATTGATGAAGGCAAAGTGCACGTCATCTTGGAGTGGGAACCGTCAGCCAAGGTCACTGAGTTGAGGTCATTCATTGGGCTGGTTAACTACTACAGGTGTTTTATCAAAGGTCACTCAACAATAGTCACACCATTGACTGACTTGCGTAAGAAAAAGAGAGCATGGGAGTAGAGCGCAGGGTGTCAGGAAACCTTTGATAGGTTGAAGCAGGCTATGATCGATGAGCCAGTCTTGGCCTTACTAGACCATGCCAGCCATATGAGGTGCATACGGATGCATTAGACTTTGCCATAAGGGGCGTGTTGATGCAGAAGGGACATCCAGTGGCTTTTGAGAGTAGAAAGTTGAACGAGACTGAGCATAAGTACACGATCCAAGAGAATGAGATGACTGCAGTGGTGCACAGCTTGCGCACTTGGCACCATTATCTGTTGGGCTCGAGGTTCGTGGTTAGAACGGACAATGTGACGAGACCAGTTACTTCAAGAATCAAAAGAAGCTGTCCCTCAAGCAGGCGAGATGGTAAGATTCTTTTATAGAATTTGATTTCTAGATAGAGTACAAGCCAGGATGGGCGAACCTGATGGCAAACACCCTGAGCAGAAAGGCTAACCTTGCTGCCATTAGCCAACTAGAAGGGTCACTGGTGCCGCGCATCAATGAGGGACTTACGCATGATCATACAACTAAAACTGTTATGGAGTATGCCTAGCAAGGTAAGACTA